TCTCTCTCTCCCTCTCTCTCTCTCTCTCTCTCTCTCTCTCTCTCTCCCTCCCTCTGTCTCACACACACAAATTAAGTGGTAGGAAAAATTATTTAAAACTTGTCACATTAAATATTTTCTATACCATATAAAATAATGGGAATTATGGGGGAAAGGTAATTAGTCATGTGGGTATTACATACAAAGATTTCATATATTTACCCAAATCTGCACAGTACAGTTAATGAAGTCATTTGAAAAACAGATATGGGCTGACAGGGTTTTAAAGTAAGATTTCTGATAATGAAAAACTTCAACCTAATGAGATATGTTGATTCCTGGAGTGAACCTTCCAATGCCTTAGCTCTTGGTACCTGGTGTGACCTGTTACCATCACAATCAGGGCCATTTGATTCATTCTGTGAGCACAGGCACCTGCCCAGAGGCAGAACAGCCCTCCCCACCCATGCCCTCCACCTCCCTGCCACCTCCCAGGCAGGGAAGCTGCAGACAGGGCACTGCTCTCCAGAGTACCATGCTACCCAGGAACAAGTGCAAATGGGATTCCCCTTTCCGGCACCTTTATCACCTTTACTGAGTTATAATTTACAAATCAGAAAATCCACTCATTTTAAGAGTATAATTCAATGAAGAGTTGTACCACTATTACCATAAATCCAACTTCAGAACCTTTCTACCAATCCAAAAAGATCCCTCACACTCACCTGCACCCATTCTGTTCCCACCCCTGTGATGACCTGGGGAGGGAGCATGGTTCTCCACTTCTCACACAGCATGGTCAAACAGAATATCCTGAGGAAGACCCTGCCTTCCAGGAACTGCCAGGGAAAATGACGGCACTACACTGAGCAATTCCAAACCAGAGTGTCTTTGTTCTCCTCCCACACTTTAATGGGAACTAAGTTTTGCTCTTCAGTCTTGTGTTCAGCTAGAGAAGGAAATGATCTGGGGTGCCGAAGACTGTTGGAGATCAGAACAGTGCTGACTGGTTTATCAGTTACTTAAGTGCTCTTCTCTTCAGCTCTTTTATGTACAGCAGGAGACCAAGGTGGCCTTGTTTGGGTGGGTGACAATGAGGCAGGCACACTTTCCCAAAGCGATGACCAAATATTTAAAAAAGCCAACCATATATGCCAATAATAGAAATACGAAAAGTAGGAGGAGCTGAGATGGAAGCATCCTCACTGCCCCCACAGAATGCCCATCTTTGTGAGCAACAGGATCAGCGTTACTGCTGAAAAGGTTACTGCGGATGAGAATATCATAGGTGGTTCTCAGAATTTATTTTTATTAAAATATCTTTCCCTGTCTCAGAGATATGTCATAAAGACTGATGGCTACATGTAAATTATAACGTAGAAAATGAGGGCAAACTCTTAGAGGAGCCACAAATGTTGAGGGCATGGTATTGTTTTACATATAAAAAGAAAAAGAGAAATTTGGCAGCCAAACTTTCCAACCCCATGAGTCTTTAAAACAGTAAGATGCTCAAAGACTCAGGGATAGTTATCTGCTTCTTACAAGGGAATTTTTTTAGACTCAAAAAAAAAAAAATCTCTGCTAGAAGTTCCAGGAAAAACTGCTTCCAGAGATAATGAAAAAAGAAACAACAAAACTTTCTTAAACAGCTATAATAAATAAGGAGCAGGTAATTGTTTTAAATGCTATTAAAATAAAGGCCACATTCTTGCTACTATGAACTATAAAGTAAAATTACTGGAATCTACACATTTAGGTGTGCAGGCAAAGGGCATTCCTCGATTCGGCATTTTTGGGGGGGGGGGGTTCCAGGGATCAAACTCGGGACCTTGCACTTGCTAGGCAGGTGGCAGAACCACTGAGCTAAATCCCAGGCCCTTGATTTGGCAATTTGCCATGTTATGTGTTCAGATAAATATCCTACCATACTCTCTGTCAGATGCTGTGGGTCCCAACATACTGTAAATGTTTGGGAGTACCTTTCCGTTCATACTACACACTGTACACTGTACTTCCCAGGACAGGGAAGAAAATATGGCTTTCCTGGTTATCTCTGAATTCAAAAATAATCACTTCTTGGTTCTTATTTCTTCCTACTTTCACCTGTCCCATCTTCATTACAAGCAGGAAGAACTGTGAGGCTATCATATGCAATTCTCCCAATTCCAGAGGGTGCCTAACCTAAGCGCATACTTCTGATTGTTGCCAAACTGCATTTTCCAGTAAATAGAACTCTTAAAATGTAATAACTTGGTGGCCATTCAAGTCAGGATGGCTTACATAGACACCAGCTTTGCTGTCAATGATGATTTAGAAGAATTAAACCACCATGCCAGAAAAGATGACTTCTTCAATTCTTTCTTTTTCCATCCTCTTTCCAAAAAATAATAATAATAATAATTGAAGAAAAAAATGGAAATAGAGCTTCTTTAAATAGGAAGGACACCAAGAGTTTGAAGGAGCCAGGAGGGTTGCAAGAGGTAGGGGATGAAAAAGAGAATGAAGATGTGTTATGTACATGCACCAACTCTCCACAATAAATGTAATCAAAGTGTACTGCAAACATGGACTAATAAAGTTTTTAAATTTTATAGGTGACTTGATGGCTAATACCCTATGTCTGTTTACGCAGGGTGGCTATATTAGCTCCTTCCTGGTAAACATGTTGCTGCATTTACTATACATATAGATGACAGCACCCATTTAAGGTTTGGGGAAGTCCAAGATGTTGCCACTGGTTAACCCATTGTCCTCTTCATAAAATCCACAGGAGAAATATCTCTCGGATGACACTGGCAAGAAGAGCTATGTTTCATTACCACCCTGACAGTCTTTTGTAATACAGTCTATATTTATACTAAACATCTTGTGGTTAGTTATGTTTCCTTCCTCATGTTGACTATTAAGCAGAACAGAAACAAATACTGGCCAATTCATAGTGGGTATATGATCTCATGAAATGCATTGTATACACTCACCTCACTCTTCCAATTTTCCAACTTGTCATTTTCACTTGAAACTAGGCATTTTTGGAAGGAGGGGGCATATAAATATTTTAATTTAAGATTTCAAATTTATGTGCTATCCAAAAGATCACTAAAGGATAAGTAAAATCTTTTCCCAGATATCA